GAAAAAATCACAAAGAGAACGAATGCTTATAATTCCCAAACAGTTTGAGCGCCAGCTTCGCCTAATAAATTTCTCAATATGACATTTATTACCAGTCGTAAATGCCTTTGTGCATTTCCTAGCTACTTTTACAATACCTGTCCAATCTGACAACCAATTCCACCTGTTTTAAACCCAAAAGGGAGAACTTCTTTAGCAAACTTTCGAACGCTTTCTCGGTACTAAGCTAACGTTTTTTTCGGAAATTTCTGCAACAAATTTTCATCATAAACTTCATTTACACGTGCACATGATCTGCGCCATTTGGCTTTAAGCTTAAAAATTTGCATTGTGTTCTTTGAGCAGCGTGTGTTATATCTCGACTTTGGCTTTTTGTTCAAACTTACTTAAGCGACCTTCACTTGAAAACTCTTGAAACTCTTGCATATATTTCCCTTATGAATAGCAAGCTCTTTGCTGCCATGACTGCTATCATAAGGCGCGCACACACACACATACACACATACACACCCGGCATACAGTGCGTATGATAAACGCGAGCAAAATTCGTTGGCTCGTTGCGCATACGTCACGGTGTACGGCGCCACGCTATGCGATTCAGCTAACGCTTATCTGGCCAAGTTTGAAGCGCTCTCAAGTGCACTTAACTAAAACTGAGCGTTGCTTAAAACAACAACAGCAGCAGCAGCAGCAGAAGAAGCAACTAACGTGTGCGGCATTTTATTAAAGTCGAAGCAGTTGCAAGACCTATGTGCAACTTAAAATGCATTTAAGCGCCCAAAGTTGCACAATTCTGCGACTATCAAACAAAACTTTCTGTCAAAGCAACAGCAGCAAGAACCAAAAGTGTCATCATGGCCAACACAAGTAACAGCAGCAACAACAACAAGTCACACACATGAGTTATTGCATTGTCGCCGGCGTCGTTGTCCTTGTTGTTGCTGTTGCTGTTGTGGCTGGCGGCCTTATTCAGATCCTGCTGCTGCCTGCTGCCTGATCCTGGCTGTTGTTGTCGGGACAGACGGATTTAGTGGCGCTTAGCACACAGAAAAAGTACAAGAAGAGCAAACGCAGCACAAGAAATGCAAACGCCAACTGACCCCCTTACCACTGTCCCCTTGTCCCCTTGCCCACCCCCCTCCCGCCCTCAACTACTTCAGCTTAGCCTTCAAAAAGTGTGGACACACATTGACGCCCCGTGCCGGCTCCTGAAACCCAATAGAAACACCGCCCAGTGCAAGTCTTTGTCTCGCGTTATTTGTTAGCACTTCAAAAGGATTTTAATCAAAGTTTTCAAGTGGCACAATGTCTTTCCATCTCTCTCTCTCCCTCTCTCGCTCTCTCTATCTTTATCTATCTCTATTTCTCTCTCTCTCTCTCCCATCCAAGTTTTTTGGTTTATCTGAGTGCACTCATTGCCCGGTTCCTTACTTGCAGATTTATATGCCATCACTCACTGTGATTTAATTATCTTTTGTGTTTTCTCTTTATACTTTTTTTGTTTTTCTTTTCGTTTACCACGCACAAAATTTATGCGACGAGTTGAAATAGATTCGTGGATAGATTTGTTCTTAAGTGCGTTGATGTCCATTATCCGGGCTTATGTTACGATTGCATTTTCTTGGCTGGAAGGGGGGGAGGCGTGGGATGAACGTTCGAAACTTTCAATTGATTTAATTAAATGTAACAACAACAAAGCTATAAAAACTACTCTCGAACTCGAAATATTCATTTTGCGCACATTTTCAACTTTCCACTTTTGCTGCGGTTGACACCATATACCACTGCACAGCAACTGCCCCTGTTGCTCCCGCTGCTCCTCCTCCTGTTGCGGCAGCTGCTGCTTTAGCTGCAGCTCGTGCTCCTGCTGTGCCCGTTGCTTTTCCTGCTGCTGGTCAGAGGCGTTTGTGTCCTGTGGCCACTTGTGGCACTTAACAATTTTGGCAGCGCGACGTTTTCAAGTTGTCTCGTCGCTGACGCTTTTTTTTTGACGAATCATCCCCTCGCTCAATCCCTGCCCTAGCCCTTTGCTTTTGATTGACTGGCTGCGTGTTTTTGACGCAAGCCAAGTGCTTAGGCTGTTGTCAAAGCGCCATCGGAATGGATATGAGTACTTAGCCCACTCGTCATCTCTTCGTAACTTGGCACTAGCACCACAAGTGCTTGTCACTGAGATACGCCGAAGGTGGCTTTTAACGTTGATGGGCAACAACAGCAGCAAAAACCTATTGGCTGCTATGGTTATGGCTTTCAACAGGGCTGCAGACTAGTTTATTGGAAATGAAAATGTTTTTCAAACTGAAGCGACTAAAAAAACGCACAATCGCAGTGGAGACAAAATTGAGGCAATTAATAGCTTAAAGCTAAGACCTTTAGCAGAGTATTGTAAGAATTGTGAGTTTATCTAAAATCTGAAATGCTCTTTGACTACATGCTAAAAGTGCGATAAATATTTATATCAAAGATCTAGTCCATTTACCACCATATTACAGCTCACTGCGCTGTCAACTTATTCAAATTCAGCAAGTAATAAAACATTTGTTATGAACTCGCATAATTAATTTTGAATACCGCATATTTTAAGCAGCGCATTTGATACGAAATCGTAACTATTTCCAGCCCTGCACAAATAGCGAGCCCGCATAACGCTCGAAATGAAAACTTTCCATAATTGTGACCGCAGTTTTTTGTGCCCATTCGATATGCAGGCATAAAAAACCCAAAAGCCCAGAGCATGTCGCGCCATTAAAGTGGGATTTATGATTGAGCCTAAGAGTATGCAACGCTTTTTGTGTAAACGCGATTGCCGCCTGTTGCTGTGCTAATTGTTGTTGCTCTCGTGGTATTTTGATTAATTTAAAATCAAAAAATATGCAAAAATTTTGTCAATGCAAATTACAAAAGCCAAAATGCAAAAGCCTAAAAAACCGTTTTGCAGCTGTACAACTCTTCTTGCCTTTAACGGCGCGTGTAAATGACTGACTCTGTGTGCGGGTGTGTGAAGATGAGGTTCAAGCGTAAACGTAATTAAAATAGCTGAATATACGAATCAATAAACAAATTGATTATGCAAATTTACTGTTTATTTGCATGCCAGTTGCCATTGTTCGTGTGAGTGCGAGTGTGAGTGCGAGTGTGTGCAATTTATCTATATATTGTTGTTTGTTAGGCATTAATCGCTTTTGTTGCAGATGCCAAATTGTTTGCTAACATTATTTTTAGTTAAATTTATATGCATTTAATGCTCAATCGGAGCGGAAATAAAAACTCGGCTGTTTTTATATATTTTGGCAGACTGAAAAATCAACTGTAAAAACCGGAAACGGAAAGCAACTGTTTTCCAGTGCGCGGAATGGGCGCAAAGTCCTGACTGTTTTTGTAATTGAGTTATTTTTGTAATTTATAAAGCGCCGCATGATTGCAATAATGAAGTGATGTGTGTGTGGGTGTGTGTTTGGGTGCTGCCATTAAATGTGTTTTTAATTAAACATAAGCAACAAAATGCAAAATAACAATTCGAAACAACATAAACAAATGAAAATCAAATTAGCGTAAAAATAACCAAATTGAATGCCCATTTTGCAGGCAAACTCTACAGTTGATGTTGCAGATTGATAAAGATAAATTGCAGCATGTATTGATTGAAGATTTGAAAGCCTTTACACAGCAACAGTTCATTTATCAACGGCCCAAATTTAATTTCGTACTCGAACAAATTGCAACATGGCATCTGATTAAGCCAGCATTCAAATCTAACCCGCTTTAAGCTGTCAAAGCTGAATACGTGTTCCACTCAACTCACTAAGTTGCAGATTGATAAATAGAGTGAAAAGCTAAATTGGATGTCTATTTTTGAAGAGAGAAGGGATAACTAACAGCTGGAATAGCTAATCATACTAATAGCAACATTAACATTTAAAAAGCAGCTGTAAAACGACCATTATGGGTTATGTTAAGTTTACAGAATTATTTTTACTGTTGATTAACAGTGACTGCTACGTTGAAGGCCTGCTTTTATCAACTGTTAAATAGTAGGGACATTTACTTACCTTTAAACTGATTTGCCGCTGCTCTAACTGCCACTTTCCGTTCACATCCTGTTTTCTCTTTTCCATTAGCTTTTTCACCCTTCCTCCTTTGGTTGGGCCTTCCTCGTCGTGTGACTTTCAAATCGCTTAAATTGCCTGTAGAAAGTCAAGCGAAGAGTCATTCGCATTGGCATAAGCTGTCTCCCAGTTGCACCTGACGCTTCCGCAGCTGCTGCTGCTGCGCCCAGCGGCAATGTCAAGATGTCGTGGTGCAACCCACTGTCTTCCTGGCCTGCATCTGATGCACAATGGCAAATTGTTGCATCCGTTTTCTTTTAGCTTTTTAAAAGCACGCACACACACACTCACACAGAAGGGCTGCCGCACCATGCATTCACATTTGCATGTGCGGTGGTTCTCCCGCTCCCATTCTCCTGCTGTTGCTGCTGTTGCTCCTCGAGCAGTTCCTGCAATGACTGTTTCCTGCAACACACACCACCACACACACGCGCACACACATGCACAACTATACACACTCATATAGAGCCGCTTATGTTGTTTGCTTTCGTTTTGCATTGTGTTGTTGCTGCCTTTTGCACCGCAAATTGCCTTTAATTCATTTTCCGCAATTACCGTAGGCGCAACTGTGGCCATTGGGCAACATTGAGCAATGGGCGTGGCACACTCATTATCATGCATGTCAACTAGAACAGCCAACGTCCCACCCCATTTTCTCCTTATACTGTCTGCATTTTTCCACATGTGATGCGCATTCCATTTGCATGCCTTGAGGGCCAGTTTGAGTTCAATTCACATCTCCATATAAATGAGACCTGCTCTCTCCCACTTGCTTGGCCCAGTGTCCATCGTTTTAAGCGCATTAAGTGGCCCACAGTTGTGCAGCTCACTTAGGGCCGGGTTCGAGTGCTGCCTGTTAAGGTCAACGCTGATCAATGTCAATCGGCGTGCTACGTGAGCACCGATGCAGTCGAGTTCCTCGTCCAGTGCAGCACCTAGCTCCAAGCTCCCACTGACCATCACAGTCGCATACAATTAACGAGCCAAAGTAAACAGACAGGCTACAGCAGCAATATACTCATGGCTGGGAGATGGCCAGCCAAGGAGCAATGTCTTTAAAGATGATTCCATGCAGTTACAGCTTAACTAAGAATCTTTACGAAACCAATTCTTATCTTGATAAATAATGATCACAGATGGATGGAGAGTATGTGCATTAATGAAGCCTATTCTAATCATAAACAGGCATTATATAGGCATGTCCACCAGGGATCAGTCCATAGTTCTGTTCATCTTCCAATGGCAAGAAGCAGCCCATGTGAGGCACAGTCAAGCAGGGCCTACGTACAAGTCGGAACAGTGACAATGTCAACTGCAAGCGTGCAGCGTGTAACGGGAATTGCAAATGGTTGCGACTACGTCCGGACCTTGCGCCCTTATACGGGCAACTCGGTGCGGGCGGGTGCACATTTTGGTTGCCTCGCTGCGCGCCATTTTCAATTTACTGACGCTGTCATGGCCGGAAGACAAATGCATGAGTGTGTGCGTCCGTGTGTGTGTGCATGTGTGTGTGCGTCTGCTGGCGTGTTGTGATTGCGGACTGTTGCTTCACTTGAGTAGCGCCAAGTCGCTGACCCGCTGCCGAATGCAAACGGAGCCGGACGCGGACACGGACACGGACACGAACTAGCATAGAATCCGGCACAGGGTGCTTCTATTTTTCTTGCGCCACTTTTTTCTCAACTGTTGCGAACAGTTTGTATTTTTATTTCGTGCTCGTTTTTTTTTTGTTCTGTTACATTGCCGTCTGTTGTAATTGTTGCTAAAGCAGCGCCAGGCAACAGAAATTGCAGCAACTGTAATAACAAAATGGCCCCCGGAGTTGTTGCCGTTGCCACACACACACACACACACCCACACACACACACGAACACTCGCACATAAACACACCGCACCGCACACACACACTGGCTGAGATAGGGCTGGGTGCTGGGAGGTGGGAAGTGTGCGCATGTAACATATTTCCAGCTTGACTTATTTTGACTTTGTATGTTTCCCCTTTAGCCAGAGTCAGAGTCAGAGGCACAGCCAGAGTCAGTCTTCAAGTGCGCCCCACTAGCTCGCAGCCACCCACAGCCACGCCCACTTTATTGTAGTTTGCTGCAGTAAATGGCAAAGTTTATTCAACGCAAAATGTGCAATGAGAATGTGCGGCGTATGCTCTGCTTCCCAATGCCAGTGCTTGTCTATGTAGACGAGGGCGGGGGAGGGCGTGGCTGCACTAACGTTGCACACTGATTTCCTGTTGCATTTCCTGCCTCAAAATGAGTGTGTGCGTGTGTGTGTGTGCGTGTGTGAGCTACTCTGATGCAGCGTAATAAAATTAAATCGAATTTGGGGCACTCTTAACGGAAATTTGAAATTAACCTGCAAAATAGATTTTCAACAGTTGCTTTTGCCAAAATTGATTTAGCAAAATTTATTGAATTTTATTTGGGCCAATGTTTCAAGTTTAGCCGCTTAGCTGCAGTTGTGCTGTTGCCCAAATCGAAAGTGTTTATTGCCGGAATTTAATAAAGCCGAACACTTGAACTCAAGTAAAATTCTTGAAGAGGCATCGCAGTATGTGCTCAACTAGGCAATACCCTGCAATTGGCTAACCCTAACAGAAACCTGTCGGGATCAAAAAGAATAAAGGCTTAGACTACCTACAACTCCTGCTTTGCTGCCAGTTACATATCCAAATATCCAAGTACTGCCAGCCTGCATACAGCAATGGTAATTTGCGAGAGGGTATCAAAGCTGTTTTGTCTTGATTTCCACAATAGAATTAAAACTAAGATGGAAATTCTTATGACGTACACAATTATAAAAATTGCACTTTGAAAAACTATTTGAAATATATTTTGTTTTATCTTCAAGCGACTTTGGCACATATTTTCACTTTTTGTTTTATTTTCATATTCAATTTATGCCATTTAACTTTCCACTTAAGCTTTCAATGGCGCATAGCCCGAATTCCATTTTACAATTGCTTGATGAGAAACCTTGCAGTTGTATTGTGAGTCGCTTGGCAATTGGGTCAAGCAAATGCTGGGTTGACGGGTTGACGGGTTGCCGGGTTGGAGATTGCCGGGTCGCAGCTGTTGCTGCTGCACTTTGTTCAACTGTTGACATTGTGATGAAATTTCATCTTTTTGCTTCGGCAGATTTTTGAATGCTCCAGAAATCAATTTCAATAGCAGCAGCCAACAATGAAAATGAGTAGAGCGAAGCGCACCCATTTAAATGTTTTATACAATTTGCGACCGTCCCACACACACACACACACACGTTCTCTCTCCCTCTCTATAGCTGTCTCCTTCACTCACACTTTCTCTGGTTGCTGTGCTGCGGTTGTCTATTGTCTTTTTTGTGAACAATGGCAGGTGTCATGCAGCCATTGCCGCGAAAGGACTGCCTCTGCAGGTTAAGATCCCTTTGTGCATTTTACGCGGAATTACACAGCATAAGCAGCTGCCACAGTATGCAACCCTTCACACCAACCCATCCACCCACCCATCCGTTCCCCCCACTTGACCGCACCATGCGGCAAACGCCAGCAGGCGACTTGTCTGCTTTGTTGTGCCCACGTAGCGAGCGAACCCTGCTACCCATTGTGGCCAAAGGCAAACACAAGGCAATGGCAGCGGCAGCAGCACCGCCAACCAATTGCCTGCACACCTCCGCCCGGCGCCCGTCATCTGCCGCCCTTTGCCCGCCGACAGTTGATTTAAGCTGCACAAAAAACTAAACAACGAACAGCACGACGACAACGAAGGCGGCTGCACAAACTGAGAAAATGAGAAAATGGGAAGGCAACTAAGAAAATGCATGCACAAAAGTAACTCATAATTAAGGCAACCCAGCCAAGCAGTCCATAGGATGCATAGGTAGCCCGGCCAAGTCGTGCAGGCAGCCGGAGAACCCACTCGTTGCCGACAGGCAGGCAGGCAGGCAGCCAGCTCCTTCTGTTCATATGGCAAAAGCCAGCGTACTGTTGCCTACTTTTTTGGCTATGCTACTAAGTAGTTCGCATAAGAGATGGCTGTACTGATTTAGGACTAGTTCCAATCAAATGAACTAGCTCCAGATAGCTCATTAAAACAGTTTCGATTTGATATAACTAATTAAGATATAGGTCAGTTATGCGCCCGTTTCATTTCACTTTATACCCCATCCATTCATTTCATTCGTTTCAATCTTTTACTTTTATCACTAGAACTCACTTGGAACTAGTTCATGACAAATCGCCTACATTTAACTAAACAGTGCCGTGAACTAGTTCGTAGTGTGCCTGGCATCGTGGGGCTCATCTTTGCTCGTGCGCCATTTGCCATAGACTCGTATAGTCGTAGTCGTATATATTTTTGATATGCTTCAGCAAACACCTGCAACGTCTCAACAACAATGAGAAATATTGTTAAGTAAACTGCACAAAGGAGCACAGCGGAACACGGGAGGGGTGTGCCTGCAGTTTTTGGTGCATTAGCGGCAAGTGCGTTGCGCCCCCCGCCTCTGTGGCCCCTCTCTCTCGCCGTCAAGCTAAGGTGCACTCTTTATTGTTTATGTTTGGCTTTAGCGCTGCATTGTTGTGCTGTATGTGTGTCTGTGTGTGTGTGTGTGTGTGTGTGTGCTGTTAATGCATTGCCTTGGCTAGGACATGCAATCTGCATTTGCGACGAGTCGGAGTCCGTCCGCCTGCACCCGCACCTGCACCAGCCGGAGCCTCATCCACGGCTTGAGCCTTGACTTTTGGCAGTCGCCGGATGTGAAATTCATGGAAGCTGCAAATCATGGCAATTGCCGTTGGCCACCTCGGACAAGGTTTCTTTTATTGTTGTTTGGCCCGTGGCACTTGGCTGATATATGAATGCCAGTTATTGAAATAACGAAATGAATATTAATAATAAAAGAGGCCTCCCACCGGGCCGTCCTACATGGCGCATGCACAATATTTCCATTAGTGACTGCAATCGTTTGTCAATTTGCTGGCCACATAAATCACTTGGCCCTGAAGGCAATGAGTCGCCTTAAACCCAATTAACCCATTAGGAGGAGCGCGCGTCTTAGCCATTTGATGCGGCTGCCTAGAATGCAATTAAAAGATGCAACCAACAAGGAAGACATCGCCGCGGAGTCTTGTGCTTCACTCACATTTAATTTTTATGTGGCCAAAAGGACGAGGCGCCACTAGACGAAGAAGATGCACAAGTGGGAAGTGGAGGAAGCAGAAAGTAATAACTGCGCATTGCCATTATTTATGTTTATGTCCGCACTACATCATCTTCAAATGTCCAGGCACCCGCCGCACCGCGCTCCCTTTGGGCCATAAAAAACAAGTGCCGGCGGACAAGTTGTGTGCAGTTGTACAGAGCGGGCAAATGTCTGGATCGTCGCTGTATTGCGGCCGAGTCTGCTGTCGTGTGGGTGGGGCCTCTTTGGGTGGTTGGCTGGCGACGTTTAACTGCCGCAGTTTGAGTGCCGTTGAACTAATTTCCGCCGCCATCTACAGTGCAATGGATGCAGCCTGGATGCTGCCGGCGGATGCACTGTAGCACAGCCTGCCCTAGCCTGGCCTGGCCTGGCCTGCTGCAATTGCGGCATTTCTATGGCACTCGCATTTGTCATTGAAGCGCTCGCTAATTTGACATAAATTTTAAATGCTCTGATGCAGAATGCGGTAAGCCAAAGGCACTGCCTAAGATCTTAACCGCTCCGAGCTGAGTAATCCGACAGCACAGCCACATGGCTGGCTGATGTGACGCCAGGCAACTGAGGGAAATAGACAAACATTATATATCCTAAACAAATTCAAATTAGTACCGACTCCATTAACAGTATATGCTTCAAATAAAATTTCTTAGAATAAGATTGATTATTCTATCTGCTCTTTGAACCAAAACTGTTCTAATTCAGAAAATATTCTTACAACAAACCTAAACTTAAGTTTTCCAATAAATAGCCAGGTATAACAAACT